TCAACACTGGAACGGACTTGAAGGGACTGTGTCAGTTCTCAGTCAAAGTGACTTCCAAAAGTGGGTGCCCTCTCCCTTTCATGAGCTATCCAAGCAAACTTTTAAGAGGAAGAACAGAATAATTTTCAAACGTAAAACAAGTTTGAAATTCAAAAGTTTTACTTCCTATGAAAAATTTCTCCCATCCGAACACATACAGATAACATGGGGTCTAAAAATAGTTCAGAGAAGAGACTGGTCCAGACAGAAACTGAAAGGTTTCCTCATGGAGAGAACAGATAAAGACATTTTACAGAGCAGTGCAAACTGTGAGGTTCAACTTTGAAAAAAGCCAAATAAAAATATATGAAGAGTTACTGTCCATGGCTTGTAAGGCCACTACTCAGGAGGCTGAAGCAGGAAGACTCCAAATTCCAGGCCAACCTGGGGCTACTGAAAGCCCTTCCCCCTGCTCCTCATGGTCTGGGAAGTTTCTATCTGTAATTCCATGGGAAAGCTATTGAAATTCTAGCAAGTTTAATTCCAGTCTACCATTTCAAGTGCAACCCATGGTGAGAAGAAAGAGACTAAGGCATATTTATAGTCGTGGGGCACCAAGGGGTCCTAGGTCCAGCTTCCATGATGGTTATCCAGAACAAAGACCTCGATCCAGGGGTGAAAACAGATTTTATTTGTCAAGAGGGGAACAGCTCAGGGGTGAGTGACTGTGAAAGTGGCAGGGAAGTATGTGAGTGCTGTGAGCTGGGCTAGGTAGGCCTGAAATCACCTCCGCAATATGCAGAGAGAGGCAGAAAGAGTAATCTGCATAATGCAGGCAGTATAATGTTTGGGGGTTGGTGCTTCAGCTCTGATGTGTCTTTTTTTATGCCCTGAGATGTCAAGGCCACTTATCTCCAGGCTTGATCTCAGCCAACGCTTGCTCGGAGCACGTTCTCCTGCCTGCCTATCCAGCTCACACATTTCTTGGGAGCTACAGGGTGGGGCAACACTAAGCTGTCACCTTGCTTTAAACACTACACATCAGCACCTCACTAGACTGATTCGCATTGCTTAAAGCAATTTGGGGGGGGGGGGAAGGTACAGCTCTGTACAGATTAGGACATGGAAAGAGGGCCGGGGTTAGCCAAAATGGAGACAACTGCTATTCTTTCAAGGGTAGTCATCAAGTGGTCCTCCACACTGGGAATTTTCTCTCAGAAAAAAAAAAAGGTGAGGGGGGACTGGGGAGAATACAGTCAGGAGAGAGTCCCTGGGTATAATCCGCAGTCTTTCTCTTTTACTTACACACACACGCGCACACACAGATCGAGGGAGGAAGGGGAGTGATTTAGCACTTTCCTGTCACTGGGACATAACTGACACCCATGCTTTCAAGGAGAGGGCAGTTTTCAGAGGACTTGCCCATGGCTGCCCGGCTCTAAGGTGGCAACATCACGGCAGAAGGGCATGGCAGAGCGGCGCTGCTCAGTCAGGTGGGAAGGAAGCAGAGCAGGTCACAACACCAGTGGGGAAGGGGCCGGCAGACACCGTCAAGGCAGGCTTCTGGCCTCCCCTCCCCCTCCCCCAGCAACAGGCTTCACCAATCCCTGCAACCCCTGGACAGATCCCTGGCACCCTGGGCACGTGATGCTGGCCACCAAAATCGCACACGGTGACGCATGCATGTCCTGGGAGACTAAAATAGGATCATTACAAGTCCAAGCTGCGTAGGGAGACCCTGTACTGAATGAATGAATGAATGAATGAATGAATGAAAAAAAATTTTTGAAAGCCTATCAACTTGACACTCTACCCTACTCACCAGAGAATTATTCTAAAACAGGACAAGAAAAGAAACACAATCATGGCATGTCACATGGGTCAGCAGCCAAAATTATACACACAGAACGTAATAACTAAATATGCATAAAGCCAAAACATTTTCAACAACTATACTGGCAGGAACATGGAGGTAGGAGCTGCGATGGTTTATAAGAACTACAATGTCAGCTTAACAAGAACAGACCGGGATCAGCACAGCAGTGATGACGCTACACAGAAACACGGTGGCAGCAAAGCAGTTGCCTCTGGAAAAGCTGCTGTAGGGCTGGGACATGCTGCGGCAGTGTAAGTCTAATCTCTATACATGTACTCCTTTGATTTTTCTTTATTTTTTGGTATTTTAGGGAAGAGTACGGGGTGTTCAGGGTCTCACTACCAGATCAGACTTGTAGTGATCCACCTGTTTACAGCCTGCCAAGAGCTGGGATTACAGGTGCGCAGCACCACGCCCAGTCTCAGTTGTTGCCTCAGCACGAGGGTGGGGGGAAGCATGGCAGACCCAGGAATCGAACCCCTGGCCCCTGTGCCTGCTTGCAGGCACTTTAATCCACTGAGCTATTTGGCCAATCCTTGAATATTAACTTAAAAACTAATTTTACCATTAATTTAAATATGCCAGAAGTCTCTACAACATTTAAACTTCTCTAGAAAATAATTTCATGATTCTAACAGTTTAGTCAAAAATAAGTAATCAGAAAAGTGATCGTTTTAAGGAAAAGAAACACTGATGCATCCAAGGCAGACTTCCAGACGGTGGCTGGACCTTGGGGCCCTTGCTCTTGGCGGGCTCCGCCGCTGGAGAGTGTGGCAGCTGAGCTTGCTGCTGGAGTGGGGCCTGGTCGCAGGAGGCGCGCATGACCCCTGGAAGAGGTGTGTCCTCCCCTCACTCGCTTCTCACATTCTCCGGGCCTGACCGCCAGGACGTGCGCAGCACTCCTCTGGGCAGCCCCCTCTGCGGCGCTTCTGCCCTGCAGCCAGCCAGCCACCTGTGAACTGCAACCTCTGAAAATTCGTAAGCCCAAATAAGCCCATCTTAACCTTTACGTTGTAGGTGTCAGGTACTCTGTCCCAACAATGTGGAACGTGACTAAGAAAGCAAGTCTTATACTACTTTGACATCCCGTGAGAAGATCGTGGTGGACGCTCTCATATATTTGACAAAAAACAAGCCCAGGTCCCGAGCCATGCTAGTGACTGCACTAAGTGAGGTTCTGTGCAGTGCACAGCAGAAAGGCTACCAAGCTGGGAGCCCGCGGTCACTCTCACGCTGCGAGCAGCTTTACACCTGCCTCTCCTTTCAGACCGGCCTTTTGGGCTAGAGACATAAGCGTGGTTACCCCAGTAGCCTTAACACCTGTGTGCACAACTCTCTACAGTGCTGTGAACCGTCTGTTTCAAAGGCATAAAACGATCCCAGAACCATTTGCTAGAGAAAGCTAGCTGCTGAATTCAACGTAAACCATTTCCATTACAAGGAGAGAGGTTAGGACCCTACAATTATCGAGCTTCAACTTGTAATAAGTAGTCTTTAATTTCTTACATAAATAATTATTGAAATTCTCAAGCAACGATCAATACAAAACACACTTTAATAAAAATAAACCTTGATCAGCAGCTCACTGTAAAATAATTTTTAAAATATGTTCAATAAGCAAGTTAATAAAAACCAGACAACTGAACAACGTACCAACCATTAAACCCTATATAAAGATCCAAGTCGGTCAAAGCAGCTGCTGCTTCCTTGGTGCCATCAAAGGAGTGTACCTAGGGGATGCACCGATGTCATTTTATTGGTATAATTATTACTCTTTCTCCAAAATTCTAAGTAACATGGATTAAGACTTTCTAAGCACGCATGCACGCACACACACACATGCATGCACACATACACCCTGGATCAAAGTGTTTTAAACACCGAATTTGTTCCCATTTTTATTTTCAAGTGAGATGGCCCAGCTGCACACTCATCCTCCCAAGACGAGGAATCAGCCGCCCAGAATTTCCCGCCACTGTGCTCAGGTGTGTCGCTGCCACACCAGCATCAGTGCACAATCTCCAGGCAGGTGGAGCAGTGGCAGGGCTTAGGCAAAAGCAGGAGGAAGGGTTGGAAATGCTGTAACACAATTTAAGATCTACTGGAAATAATACTGAACTGTTCTGTTTGAGGGTATTTTTTTCTAGACTAGAAATCATTCTTAAGAGGCAATTTAAGAAGCTACATACAGGAGCTGGGGAAACTGCTCAGTGGCATAAGCACCTGGCTGGCAAGCGCAACTGTCCTGAGTTCAAGCCCTAGCACTGTTCTGCTCTAACTTGTTTTCCCAGTCATTGTATTATCAATCTTCAGCTATTTCACATAAATATTATCTGCATATCAAAAAACCCCCCAGAACTCTGAAGCTGTATACAGGGGTGAGAATGTTGCTGTCAATGCAAATTGATAACCGCTGACAATGTCAGTTCAGCCAGCAGAAAGGACTGGGACAGCTTTTTTCACCTTTACAGACCCTAGATTCAGACAGTTATTCATGTTGCTTTATAAAAAGGGATCACCTACCACTTAATGTTGTTACCACCAATCCAGAATGTCTGAGCACACCGTGCATGACATATTCTCCACAATGTATCTATATTAACTATCTATAAGGCAATTATTCATGCCCTACGCATTCCTATTAGACTAGAAAACAGCCTCCATTAATATCCAAACAATTTTAAAAGTGATTCTTCATAAACCACTTCAAAAAATTATTTGTATAGCAACTTCCTTTGTGGTTAAGTCGTATTTATTGTTACTTTTTAAAATTTAAATTACTAAGGATCATCCAAGTCAATTTTAATTTTTATTTAATTAACTTACTGTAGTACTGGGGACTGAACCCAGGGAGCTCTAAGCCACAACCCCAGCCCTTTCCATTTTGAAACAAGGTCTCTGTAAACCGACCGGGCTGGCCTGGAATTTGCAGTCCTCTTACCTAGGAAATCACAATCCTTGCAAAGCCCAAGGAAAATCTTATTTAGAAACAAAGCAAATGAATGTGGAGTGTGAGGTTACACTAAGGCCACCAGTAATGACAAGCATGTTCATGGGGGCCCCTCTCAACTCCCAAGTACAGCTCCTAAAGGCTAAACTTCAGCCCGGAGGCTAAGAGGAGGTGTGCAGAGCAACAGCACACAGCAAGACACAATGTACACATGTCACAGCGTTAGGACGCACGCGCAGGAAGCTGCGCGCAGGGTGGTGGTGGCTGTTCCCTCTTCCTCAGTGCGCAGCGTGCAATGGATTTTATACACCCAAGCACAAGTGTCTCCTGAAAATCTGTGCACAGGAGCACTCTTCTAAGGCAGACTCTCGAGAGTCCGGGACTCACACCGCAGATAATACTTATGGGAAATAGCTGAAGACTGATGATTACAATGACTGGGCAACTAGTTAGAGCAGAACAGAAATCAGAGGAAAAAAGTGAGGAGGTCAGAATAATAACAGCGAATGAACACAGGTGATGAGAAACTCAAGAAAAATCTGAAACATGATGAAATAGTTCAAGATACTATAAAAATCAGTTTCTGTTTTCCTCAAAATTTAAACTGAAGAACATTAAAGAATGGCTAATTAATAGCTCAGCAGCCTAAGCAGCTGCCTGGCAAGCACAAGGACTTGGGTCCAATCCCTGGTGCCCCATGCCATGCCGCCCAGGGTTCTGTGCTGGCCACCAAACCAGGCGTGGCTGCGCACACCTGTAATCCCAGTGCTAGGGAGGCTGAGACAGGAGGATCACTATGAGTCTGAACTGCATAGTGACACCCTGTATCCAATAAATAATTTTTTTCAAAAGCTAAAAATTATAGCTAATGGAGAAAAGAAAAACAAAAGCCGCATCAGAATGTATACAGGTACATTCAAGGGATGTTCTTGTGAAGAAAACTCTGTCCTCATTCTGGGATGTGGCGGCGCAAGCCTGTGACTCCAGCGCTGAGCAGCCGAGGCAGCAGGATTGCTGTGAGTCCAGAGCCAGCCTGGGCTGCTTGGAGAATTCGAGGCCAACCTGAATCACGTGGCAGGAGCCTCTCACTGCCCCCATTATTCTGTACTCATTCTTGTGTTCTGAACAAAAATATCTTAAAACAGTTTATGTTTGTCCCACATCTGGCCAACAAATCCAACAGTAAACACACATGCTCTTCAAATAATGATAAAGCTTTATTTTTAAAGTTTTAATAATTTTATTGCTGACATGTGAATTTCTTTATAGGCCAACCTTAATAACCAAGACATTTTGAACATCATATATTTAGCTATTTTACACTTACCACTCCACCTACACAACGATCTCTGTTTCTTTTCATTATATCTGTGAATTAACACAAAGAACCTTTAGCAAGTAGGTAGGATTCTGTAAAATTCTTAAATTCTAAATGAGAATTTTATTTTAAACTCACCCAAAAATTCATCATGTGAGTTTCGACAATGAAGAAACATTGGTAATTTTGTTTGTTCTGACAGTTCAAATTGTTTTTCAAAATATCTGCATTTGTTAAAAAATTGCCTCAGTAAACTTTTTATTTTAACATGAAAAATATAATTATTCAAAAGACATTTTCAAATGGCTTTCAAAATATCTGCATTTGTTTAAAAATTTCTTCAGTAAACTTTTTATTTTAGCATGAGAAAGATAATTACTCAAAAGACATTTTCTGGGTGGCACTGGGGGTTGAACCCATGGCCCAGTGCTTGCCAGTCACATGTTCCACGAATGAGCTAAATCCCAGATATAAATGATTTTAAAATTAAAGGAATCTTCATAGAAATGTCAGCACCAAGACTGTGAATTCAGACATAAAATGGCTTAGGAGAGAGCTTTAAATACACAACTTAAGGAAGCAATCCTGCGTTCTCCAGGGTTATTGCACAGGTTTCTCCTTGTGGGACTCGGGATCGAACCCAGGGACAGTCAGTGCTACATGCCTAGCGGAGCTGCCCCACTGCCCGCCACCCCACCTTGTCCCATCTCGTCCCTCCATCTTGAGACACACTCTTACCAACTTGCCCAACCTGGTCTCAAACCTGTGATCCTCAAGACTCAGCCTCCTGAAGAGCAGAGATTACAGGCGCCATGCCACTCCCTGTACCCAGCCTGCAGTCAGACTTTCATGTGCTATTGTAAAAGTTACTGTCACTTCACACAAAGAGCAAGGATCAAAACTGAATCCAAGTAGGTGATAAGTTCAAGTTTCTGACTCAACAATACCCAAGCTGTGCACTTCCACACATTCATAGACGCAAACAGATCATGGACACAGCTCCCATGTCTGCTGGGCTCGCTCGCAGTTACGCTGCTGCCAGCCTCCTGTCCAGTGCGCACTCAGAGCCCAGGACGCCCAGCAGCAAGAAGACAAGCAGTGGGAGAGAGGACTGCTAGGAAGTACCAAGCAGTACCCACAGAAACGAAAGTGAAAATAATCGTGAGACTGAGCGAAACAAAAACATGGTGGTCGCCGCCCCACGTTTACTTAGACAAGTGACGTTCTGTGAGCCACAGCAGGAACTATATCCTTAATACACACGTATTAAGTGCCCGTCTTGACCTCATGATGGAAGTCTCCTTAAAACGCTAACATGACCAATGTTGCCCATGCTTTCACTAACCCCAAATTGGGCTTAAAGCATTTTGGTTGCGTTTTATAAGCAGTTTTAACTTCTTCTAGATGAGAATTCCATGAGCAGGAAGCCTTGGGGGACCCTGCCACTGCCTCGCTTGGGCGACGGGCAGCGACTCACAGCTCATCCCACCCACAGCAGACGTGGAAGCAGAGAACAACTGAACCTGTCAAAGACAAATGCTTCTGTTTCAGAGTGACGATGTGAACCTTTAAGGTTAAGGGAGCTGATGACATGGTGTCCCAGAGAGACACAGAGCTATAGTAACTGCTGGTAGCTGCACGACTGTCCCTGAACAACACAGGTGACCTAACTCATTTACATAAAGAGCTCTGAAAGAAGAATATGAAGAACATTATTCTAACTGCACTTGGTTATAGATTTTCACACACCAGAAATTCTAGAGCTTCAAGTCTAGGTTATTACCAACTCCACTAATAAACCTGCTCTTTACCACTGTGACTTCAGTAAAGGGGAAGGATGGGTGTTGGGGCATACTCTGGTCATCAAGTAATTGGCTTCATTAAAATCAGACGACAAGAATTATAAATAATAAAGCTAGATGTTATCTTAAGAGAGCCTCTGACTAGCTTTTTTTGTTTCTTTCAGGTACCGGGGACTGAACTCAGGACCTTGTGCTTGCCAGGTAGGTGCTCATGCCGCTGAGCTACCTCCCTGACCTTCAACACTTTTGTATATAACAACCTCCTAAAGCAGAAGGCTAGGGGTGTAGCTCAGTGGCAGGACACGTCTCTGGCACGCAAGAGCCCTTGGGTTTGATTCCCCAGCACCACAAAGAGGAACAGGAGTGGGGGCGGGAGGAGAAACTAACTGGAGACAGACGGCTCTTTATTCATCTTCATCAGGCCTTCAGGGACAGACAGCATACCTTCCTTATTCATACTTCTATAAACTCCAAGCTCCCAGCAGTTGGCAAGTAGTGTTCCATAAATATTTATTGTATAAACGAACAAATTAACTTCCTTCAGAAGGTCATCCTAATGTTTAAATACAGTGGTACTCTGGTTCAGGAACTCAGTTCTTTCCACGATTCTGGTCACAAGCTGAACTGGACGAGCTCAGAGTCAAATCTCCCTGCAAGGTCAACATTAAATCAAAGCACTAAATTTGATTTGGTCCTTGTCCAATCTGATTTGCAGCCAGAGCCATGGATTCTTTCTTGATAATTATGGTGTTTTTGAAGTTCAACAAAAAAATCCATGTTTCAAATTAAGACTCGGGCACAATCCTTCTTTACAACCCCCTGACTCTCATCCCACTAAAGTTCTTAACGGAGCTCCGATACAGGACTTGACGGTTGCAAACTGACAGCATCAGAGCCCCCAGGAGCAGCGGCTGACCTTCTAATCCCCTTTTGACGTCCCTTGCGCTGAAATCACATTCACAGCTGAACTGAATTCCCTCCACGAGAATGCCTGACAGGTGAATGCACCAGCTAAACAAAAGCCACCGAGTCTCCAGCAGGTAAAACCCATGCGTTAGAGCTACCACTGAAGCCAAGTTAGCGCGGGCATGGTTCAGGGGCACAGCACTAAGCTCGCAAGCGAAAGGCACGCCGTTAGATATATATGCGTGTATGCTCTGGAGGCTGAGGCAGGAGCACGATCACTGTTAGCTTGAGGCCAGACCAGACAACCAAGGGAGACCCGGTCTCGAAAACAGACCAAATTCAATGATCAAGCGGCTAAGTGTTTCCATCTCTTACGAAGGATGTGCAAATATGCATGGAATTTGTTTCATTTCCTTCTGATATACACAGAGAAGAACAAACCTATACTCATGCTTAGTCCAACTACATTTTCAAATGATGGAGTATTTTAAAAATCACTTACTTCAGCTGAACATCTTTGGGGCAAAACTGTAGCCGGTCAAAATCTTTAAAAGATTAAAAAATAATAATTACTGAGGACTTACATAAGCCAAGTCAGTCACTTTTCAACAGTGTTACCTGAACAGCGCGACGGGCACTCACCGAGGCCACACTCCCCGACTGCCACAACTTTCCCCTTATTGTTTTCAGCAAGAAGCAGCAGCTCCTCTAGGTAAAGATCAGGATTATTCTTTTCAAATTCACCGCATCTGGTAGGGTGGCAACCAACGGTGCTGAAAAACATATCTCACCCAAGAAAGAATAACACCCTGGGCTTAGTTTCAAAATACATTTTTGTACTGACAATACACACAAGCTAGAGAACATAGAGTAATTTGAATAAATGGTTTTAAACAAATGCCATGAGCTGGTACAGTCTACCAGAATTGCATAATGTTATTCATATAAGAATTTAAGGAATATTAATAAAGTAGGGTGAGTATGGAAATTGCCTCAATGTATTAATAAAATAGTTCTACTCTTTCTAAAGCTTATTACTACCACCAAGCATTATTAGAGCACGAACAGTGAAACAGTTTCTTGAAATGTTATCAGCTACTTATGTCTTTTACATTCATTATTTATGTGCCTGTTTTGATCCATATATTTAATATAACTTAAAATTATCAAAAAGTGAGCCTCACAGTGTTGAACAGTAGCAGTTACCCACAGAAGGAGAAAGGGGATTTCTTCTTCTAAGAGTGACAGACGCACTGAGGCCACGCTTCCTTCCGCAGCCGTCAGGCCGAGGAGCCCAAAGGAGCAGTCGGGCTGGCTTCTGGGGGCCGAGCCCGAGGGAGAGCTCTGGAGGCTTCGCTCTCCCACAGGTGTCTACAGGTAAGGGGCAGCGCTTCTTTCCTTCTCCCCCCCCCCCACTCCTCCCCTCCCTTCTCCTCTTTCCTTGGAACCCAGGCTCTTATGCTGAGGCACACCCCCAGCCCCTTTTTTATTTTTCATTTCCTACTCTGAGACAGGGTCTCATGAACTTGGTCCCAGGCTGGGCTCAAACCCGGGATTCTCCTGCCTGTGTCCCGAGCGCTGGGATTACAGCTGTGCACCCCACGGCCAGCTAAGCAGCCTTGCTGAGCTGTGAGGACCCAGCGCACACAGCAAGGACTAGAGGGGGCTAATCATGGAGATGGGTGGGCAGGTCTCACAACCATGGTGTGTGGGGGCAGACAGCATGGAAGGAAATATTCTTATGGATCCCCAAATTCGTGGGAAAGGACTCTTTTTATGTCTCTAATCAATAAGAGAGAGAGAGAGAGAGAGAGAAAAAAAAAAGGTATCACTGTATCCCGAGGAGAAGTATTTTACAAAGTCCTTCATTTGGGCATGGTGGCACTTGCCAAGAACCCTGTACACTCTGGAGGCTGAGGCAAGAGGATCACAAGTGTGAGGCCAGCTAGAACCCTGTCTCTAAAAAACTTAAAAGGGGCTGGATGTAGTTCACTTCTTACTGGATTTGGTCCCTGGCACAGAGGGGACAGGTGCTAGGTTGGCGAATGGTCTAAGGTGCCAGACTCGACCTCCACTTCTTAATTTTTTTTTTTTTAATCTTTATTTATTTACTTGGTATAGGGTCTCGCTTTGCAGCTCAGACTTGTAGTGATCCTCCAGTCTCAGCCTCCACAGCACTGGGATGACAGGAGAGCACTACCAGGCCCAGTTCTGGTGGCCGTGGCACCGGGGATCGAATCCAGGTCCTTGCACTTGCCAGGCAGGTGTCTGGACCACCGAGCTATCTCCCCAGCCCTCCACTTCTTTAGTACATCTACATTTTGACACATTATATGGAATGCCAGATTCCTTAATGTCTAGCACATCAGGCATGTAGATATGAGCCCCAAATAAATGTGGGACGTGCTTTATGTAACCACGATTCAGCTGATCCATCCCAAAACACTCAAGACTTCAAGTAAATGTAAAACACATGGACATGAAGTGACATCTGAGGGCATGTGCGTGGGATTATTATCTGTACTTGGGCCACAAAGTAAGTATTTAATATACAGATCCCTCACAGCTTTAGCTAAAAAGAGTAAATAAAAAGAGATTCAAATTTTATGGATTTTATGACACCCACATTACACATTAGGAATACCTGAGGATAAGTCATGCACTGGATTACTTTATTCTCATGACCTAGCCTCCGGGAGTTTCTCAGGCCGCGGACACCGCGGCAAACACTTTGAGCTGCGCCACCCTAATCATGTCGCTCCGAAATCAGCCCGTCTTCCCTACCGAGCTAGAGTCACTGATCTGCTGTACTGTATCTAAGACTCCTGAGACGTCTTCAAAATTACTTAATTCATTTTTGGGAAAAGTAATGGGATACCTTTTGTTTGCGCCAACTGTAGAGCCTCTTTACTGTCTTGTAGATCTCCTCCTGTGATCATGAACTGAAATGGAAAGAGAGAAAATAAGCTAACGGCGACACCGCCGTGCCCCAAGCCTCTTGTCACTTTTTCAGTGCACAATATGTTTTCTTCTGAGGGTCACACAGCTACCCTTCCTTTAAAATTCAATTCAGAAAAATCATCCCTACATAGCATGGTCCCTGGCTACTCTAAACCGCCCACCGACATGCCTCACATGTCTCTCCACCCACTTGCAGCTGGGCTGGTGGCACCTGCTGGCGATCCCAGCACTCTGGGAGCCTGAGGCAGGAAGATCTGAAGTTTGAACTCAGCCTGGGCAACCTGGTGATTTAGCAAGCCCTGTCTCAAAAATATCTTTAAAAGGTGTCTCAGTGAGAAGGTCCTGGGTCCAATCCTCAGTAGCACAAAGAAAAAAATGTTTATGTGTCTGCCTTTGCTATTAGTACCTTGAAGACGCAGGTCATGTGTCATATAAGATCAAAGAACTAATGACCACAAATTTAGAATTCAGTTATTCTAAACCAGTGATCATCTAAACCAGTAGTTCAATAATGGTGACCAATTCAACGACTGTCCACATGGGGCCTCAGAATTCCCAGGTATGTGAGGTCAGAACTACTCTCATACTAACGCTAAGACACCATCTGCAGCTTTCATTCTCGCTCTATAACCGCACACGATGAGATCCTCTAGGGGCCGCGTGGCGTACGATCACACCAGACCGAGGAGAGAATCAGTGCAGACTCGGCAATCTGCTTTTAACCCAGTCACTAAGAAATCCAAAAGAGGCCAGGCACGATGACCCATGCCTGTAAGCCTGCACTCAGGAGGCGGAGGCAGGAGATTTTCCACAGGTTCGAGGCCAGCCTGGGCTGCACAGTGAGTTCAAGGCCAGCCTGGACTGCACAGCAAGACCTTATCCCAAATAAGAAGTGGAACAAAACGAAACAACCTGAAAGAATACAACATAATCCCACTTGTTGCTAAGGTTTCCATAAACTAGTTATTGCTTATAAATAATGTATTACATAGTAGTTTACTGTATTTTTTATTCTAATTCCTAATATTGGATAGGAGGTATGATCAAAGTATAATGAATATATACATTTAAAACAATTTCTTACAGTAAGAGACTGCCATTAATCCCCCTTAAATTCCTACCGCTCACTTCAAACACACTTGTGCCATCATTCCTACCACCTTTGGAAACAGTTCTGGAAATCCCTTTCTGGGTATCCTTACTAGGTGTAATAAAAAATACAGAGAATGCTCCTGCAGACTGCGCTCCAACAGTAAGGTGGGCTTGGGGCAAAAAGTGTGTCCCCACCCACCTCAGTCCCTGACCTGCTACTGTGCGGCCTTGGCTCTCCCCAAAGTCCAAATGACCTCGAAGCGAAGCGCACTGAGGCCATCCTGCGGCCAGGACAGCACAAGCGCAGACACTCCTGAAAGTGGACTGCAGAACTGCTTCAGACAGTGGCAAGAACGATGGGCTAGGTGTGTCCGAGGGAGGGACGGTGAGTTGAGGGAGGTGACGGCAGTGTCTCTTTCATTATAATGAAGTTACGAGGCTTGACTGAAAAATACCGTGAATGTTTAAATAAAAAAAAAAAATAAAATAAATACTATAGTTTGGAAACATACAACCAAAAACTCTTGGAGGCCTTCGATAATATTTCAGAATGGAGAGGTTTCTGGGCCGACCAGCTCGAGCAGCGCTGAGCTGCTACTGCAGCCACAAGCTCTACGACAGTGCCACAGAGCCCCGGGGCAGAGTGCCATCTGCTCTCTGGTAAGATGAAGATGGCACTAGGAAACCACGTGTTGGCAGTGCCAGCAAGGCACACGTTACCTCAAATAAGTGCTTCAAGTATACTGACCTATGTTTTTAAGGCACACCTCAAGAGTAGCACTGCGCTAAAATGGGGGACCCCTTCCAGGTGCACAAAGGAGAATGCACTCAAAACAACAGCAGAGCCCCAAATGCGACTCCGGCGTGCTCGTATAGCTTCCCCTCGACCCTGAGCTCAGGTTCAGGGCCGCCTCCGCACTCGTTACGCAGGCCTCAGGTGCCTGCAGGACACAGGACGCGCTCATACACATACGGGGGGGGGGGGGGGGGGGCTGGGGAGATGGCTCAGTAGAATAAGCGCTTGCCAGGCAAGCTCAAGGGCCTGAGTTCAATCCCCGGTTCTGAAAAAAAAGGGGAAACTCGCTTTTATAACATGATCTAATCTCAAAAGCCAAATCTACTGCTCACATCTAGTCCTTCAATGATGCAAAGGTTTTAATCAAGGCGGTTCTTCCTTCACTTACACCTGCGAAGCCCGTGTGCACTGGGCAAATGCTGACGGCACGTGCAGCGATGGCTGCGTCCGCCACGCGCACACACCCAAGACCACTGTACTAATGCCCTCCGCAGCTGCAGCAATTCAGTACGCTCACATCCCTTTCTACAAGTGAGAAAATGCGTATCGAGAGAGAAATACCTCACACTGCAAAGGCGGGAAGCCTAAGGCTGGGATCAGCCCTCCAATCTGCAATGCCCTAAAAGGAGACCACACCCAAGGAACACCCAGAGCAGCTCTGTCAGCCCTAAGCTGGCTGTGCATGGGTATTTGTCTTTGTGTAATCAGAATTGTTAGTGTTAAATTGTTTGTGACTCACACTAAACTTTCAGAGCTTAGTGTTTTAACACTGAGAAAAATAATTCACCAAGCAGGAAGTGATTTCATAATGACAATTCCATGACCTTTGTCCTTTTAGTATTTGTGAACATAACATAGAATTTTAGAGTTGGAGATTGGAGAACTCAGTGAGCCCTGTCATTTTTTAGAACTTAAGTTCCTCAACTTAGAACCAGTAACCACTGAGTACCCAGACACCATCCTGTGAGGGTGGGGGGAAGCTTGCTACTCACAGAAGCAAATTAAAGAAACATCTATTCAAAGAATTTGATACTGAGCTGGATACATTCCCTTGCTTATTAGAGTGCTCTAAAAATTAGCAGGAACTTTACTCCTATAAAAATTAAAGTATCTTCTCAGTTATCTGAACTGGTATATTCATAAACAACTTGTGACAGATATATGTCTTTCTGATTATTGTCTATTCTTACAAATGCTGAATTATACTATAAATTTATTAAAAGTTGCCTCTTAGGGAACCCAGTACTTCATAAAGGCTTTAAACGTATTTTTAAAGAGATTTTACACCACTTACACATTTCCGATCATGTGGAAGAACTACACATAAGATCTGTGTAACTTAAATAGCTGTGAACACAATCGATTGATATTTCATTTCTATTAATATGCTACTACAAATTAATAGCAAATATATGCCCAAGAATGTGGCAGTGCTCATTTCCTTATACTCTACAGAATGTTCATTAAAATTTATTGTAAAAATAAAAAAGCTAACAAGTAAGAAAACAGACATTACCTTTTTCACACCAACCTGGACGGCTCTCTCGATCACCTCCTGCAAGTCATCTGTGTAAGAGAGGCCATACATGAAGCAGAAGCGCACTCAGCCACGGCCATCTCCTCTGGAGATAAGCACACAGACCAACGTAAAGGCACATCTACATTCTTGAAAACAGACTCAAATTTAAGGCAAACTACATGAATAATTCAATTGTGCTTTTATCCTGTTGACCAAAAAGGGAGAGAGTGACAAAAATCAGGAGGTTCCAACTAAAGAATTCACTAATTACAATCTGAGTCATGTTACCATTTGCTAGTACTGTATTTTTTTGGACAGGAAATAATTATTAGGCTTATTTTTACGAGGGCTTTTCTAAGTATACCTGCAATGAGTCCCAAAGACAACATTTCTGCATAAATGTCATGCTGGGGTTGGAGCTTTTCTCTAAATACTATTTGCATTGAGGAAAACTGTTTTCTGTTTCACCTGACAGTTGTTTTTTGCTATTCATTTTATTCACTGTTAAGTGACAATAAACTTTTCTGGGAAAATCAATATTTTAAAAAATCTGTTATTTATTTATTTATTTGCAACAGAGTCTCGCTATGCAGCTTGGACTCCTAGTGATCCTCCTGTCCTAGCCTCCCCAGCACTGGGATTAAAGGCATGCGCCATCACACGTGGTTTCAGTGGCCAGCTCAGCACGCGAGGCCCCATATGCCATGTGATACTAGAAATCGAACCCAGGTCCTTACACTTGCCAGGCAGGCACTTAAACCGCTGAGCTACCGCTCCAGCCTAGGAAAATCAATATTAATGACTAAATTCTGACAGGCCACAAATAAAAAGATAGTAAACTATAATATCACAGAAATCCATTATTAATTTCATATTTAAGTATAAGACTAAATGTGATAGTAATTAAATTACTATTATGCCTAAAGTGGCTACAAAATTTCTTTTATGACAAAAATATTACCTTTATTACCTAATACAGCAACTGGTTTTGCTAGATAATATAAACAGTAGTAATGCCGTTACCGACAATAATTTATTTCATAAACACACCTACACATATCACAAAATATGAAATGTTAGTACAAAGGCAAGAAACGTAGAATTTACTCAATAGCCCAATTGTACTATGTGAGCATTACATGAAAATATCATCCGAAACGTATCATCAGCTGAGCCAAATAGCTCAGCGGATTAAAGCGCGTGCAAGCAGACGCAGGGGACAGGGGTTCCATCTCTGGGCCTGCCGTGCTAGCCCCACCCCTGGGGCATGCTGAGATGGCAACTGAGACGGGGCATGGTGGCGCACGCGCCTGTAATCCCAGCTCTTGGGAGGCTGTAAACAGGCGGATTACTACGAGTCTGCTCTAGCAGTAAGACCCTGAACACCCTGTAGACCTTTCTCTAAAGTACAAAAAAATAAAAAATAAATGATGTAGAAAAGGTAAGCGCTGAGGGCAAGTTTGAGAAAATTAATATTTATTTTCTTTCAAATGACAGATAACATTCCCTATATTTAGAAAAGCTTTCACCTAAGAACACAATAAAATTACTAATGTAGCTTGTTGAAATGTATAGTTTTACTTCATTCTTAATGGTAAAACAAATTTTCTTGTTTGCATTTATATAATGAGTATAATAAATTTTCTGAGGCAATATTCACAGACTAGAAACACTGCAGAAACTATGCTTTCAAAAACTTGTTGCTGCCATTCCTTGCTTAATTAGCGCTCAGCTTAAAAAGACCTTGTATTATAAACTAGCTTACATGTTTTTTCAAATTTACTAAGTTTATTGGTACAACTAGGAAATAATAACGGTCCCATTCATCTTAGGGAACCTGTGTACGTGCTGTCTTAGTTCCTCTTTTATTTTACGCTCATTTATTAAAAACACCCATTCTGCTTTAGGCTGAGCCTGCCCTCGCTTTACAGCACAATTATCTAGTCACGCGTAAGAGCGCAGCTACAAGGGCCAGGGAGACAGCTCAGCAGAATAAGTGCTTGTCTGGCAAGTGCAAGGTCCCGATTTCAATCCCTGGTATGGCAAAAAAAAAAAAAAAAAAAGTATAGCAGCTACAGTACGGCTGAGCGAGACATGGACAGAAGGGACAGAGGAGACAGCAGTCCCTGCCTCTCAGTCACACTGCTAATCTGGCACCTAGGTGAAAATGTTTCTGAAAAACCAGATGAACTGAGGTGGACACTCTGTTTTCTGATTATGTACCCAATTGTTCAGTTGCTCAACACACTGTACAGAGACTATTACTTGGCCTTGTACTTATAATTATTCAAAGTTCTGTACTCAAAATTATAAACTTCTACAGATGAGTAGAAGGCTGATTTAAAATTCTGTTGGGACAAGTGCCTTACAAATGTTCGCGGCCATAGTTTGCCAATATAGCTGATTCGTGTTTCCCTTTGTTTTACACAAGTCCAACATTTCTCAAAAGTGGATTTATATTTCAAGACCTCTATATAACAGAAAAATGGGTCTTTCTCAGGAAACTATTTACCTTCATAAAAGAGACACTTACCCTGATGCTTCTGAACCCCTCTATAAATTCCTCTGAACATAGGATCTGTCAGGTTGATACCAATATCTACAAAAAGCAAAAATAAAACAATCAGTTAATTATTAAGAGTCTTTGTTGGAAACTTTTAAAAAAATAAGTTCCTGTTCCTAAACTTTTCATCTGCACATCCATTCAAACAATATCCAAGTACCAGCCACTTTTCAGCCACTGTGCTAGACCCAAGGGACACAAAGTTGAGTAAGATATTATTTTGGCTTTTGTCTAGATGTCTTCCCAAAGCCTCATGGAGTCATGGGTAGCTTTTCAGAATGCCTAGATCTAGAAGAGTATGTGATGCTGGGATTAGGGTTTGTGATTCCTATCAGTCCAAGGATTGCTTTGGCATAGCTCAAAGTGTGGAAAATGGGATGCTTCCCTCCAAGTCTTGATTTGAGTACCCTGAATACACAAGGGACAAAAAGAGGGCTGCTGTGGTCACCTGCTGCTTGCTGCACTGCCTCCTGCTCACCATGAACTATTTCTCCACTGCGATGCCCTGTGCCATGCTGCCCTGCCTAGGCGTCAACAGTTATGAACTGAAAACTACAAACTATGAGCTACACTAAGCCTTTCCTCCTTTAACTTGGGGTGTTGGGTATTTTCTCAGCAACAAAACTGAAGGATATATCTCCTGCTCTCAAAAGACTCACTTCAAAACTAGTAAGGCAGAGCCATTAACAGTCAATGATACAATATTAGAAGTAAATATTGGTACAACAGGATACAGAAGCGAACATCCAACCTAGCCAGGTGGCTAGCTTAGAAGCTTTCAGACAGAAGAAATCCCTGCTCTGAATCTAGAAGGCTGAATCAGAATTACCTAGTAGAAGACAAGACACAGTGGACAGACAAGAATGCCTTCAGCTTGTGAAACAGAACAGTACTTCAGGGTCACTGGCCTTTCAGCTACTGGAGAGACACACAGGGAATGAGTGGCTGGAAGAGACCAGACCGTTATGCTACCAGGCACAACAAGAAGTGCTGATGGTATTTAAGCAGAGGAGTAAGATTTATTCTGCCACAGCCCATCCAGGCATCTTTGTGGAAGGTGAGATTAGAAGGGGACAAAAGCAGTCAAGACGTCCCACCTGCAAACTGACAAGGGCTCTTATGTGCAACATGAGCCTAAATTACGGTCAGGAAAAAGGAGATATAGAGAATGTAAGAAAACATTCATTTCCTTTACTCACCAAATACTTAATATGTTACCAGTGATCAAACTCTGGACCTTGCGCTTGCCAGGCAGGCACTTACGCCGCTGAGCTATCTCCCCTCACCAAACACTTTTGAAAACCAATTCTGTTCCCACTACTATATAAAAAGTACGGGATACAGAAATGCATAGTCTGTATGGGAGCTACAAATAAAATGTTGTAACATAGTAAGCTAGACTGTAAGCCATACAACGGAGCACAATTCTGCCAGGATGATGCAAGACAAGAGAGCTGGGCCTGAGGACAGCTGAGGCTGGGGCACTGGGCACTGCATACACGGGTGTGCAGTGTGGGAAGCCATTAACTGGTATCCATTTTATAATAGTGTCAGCTGTTTTCTTAAGTTTCTATTCCCCTGCTGAGTTAAGTTTACGGTCCTTCTCACCTTGCCCACTCCCCGTGAATCACGTGCTATGCCCCAGAGGTGACACTTTCCCCCGTTGCCTAGATACCTGCTGACTCCAAGAACCGAGACTTCCTCATTCCTACACCCCCTATATATACCCAGCACCTCCCCTGAATAAACGGGACTTGATCAGAATCCTGTCTTGTCCCCATTCTTTGTGTCTCCTGTCCCTTCTCATCCCCACTCCCCCTCTAGGGTCCTCGTTGACTAACCCGCGGGTCGGGACAGTGCAGGAACATAATGTACCTAGAACACCTGAACACCACGATGCCTGCAGGGGGCTCTCAATCGAGAACAACTGCAGCATCTCTTTCCTCCTAATCTCTCTTCCTCACCCCGATGGCTTGCAATGTCATTTTGGTCCTCACTTCTGAAGGCAGTGCTACTGGCAGCTAGGGTTGAGGTCCTGATGCTACCAAATATCCCACAATATATAGGACAACTTTCACAGCAAAGAATTATCCAACTCAAAAAGGTAGGTGCTGTTTTTGGAAAAACCTGCTGTAGAATATAAGGGGACAAGGGGAATAAGAAGATCCAAGGTGAGATTTAACAGTGGGGGGAGTGCTTCTCTTACTTTAAAAATATCCTTCAACACCTATAACTAGAAGGAGACTCTCCCAGTCTGTGGTGGGTAGGTTGCCCACAAATAGACGTCTGAACACCAGACGTGTTGCTAACCCAACATTAACGTAGACTTTGAAAGACAAATGAGAATTTAGGTAACCCAAGATGGTGGAGAGAGTATTTCAGGCAGCTGAACCAGCAAGAGAAAAGTATGATGGAGAAGACTTCAAAGGCAACTGGGCAGCAGGGATGGACAGAGATAAATTCGCTAACAGTACCTTTTAAAAAGGCTATTCACATACAAAAATTACCTGTTATCGTAAATACTATATATATGCTGAACTGAATAGCCTCGATCACAGGAAATCCCCACCTGAAGGAAATTAGAAAAAGGGGCAAACGAAGGAGGAAAGCCAGGGAGGAGAGGTTCTGCCTGAGACACTCCTCCACGGGATCCAAGTCGAGGCACCAGTCATCTCTGGTCATTCAGAAATGGTCTGTATCTTTTCTAGCATATTTCCTGTTTGTACATTGTAGCACTTCTTTCTTCTGATGCTTGTTAGTAAGAAAGCCTTTACTCATTGGGGGGAGGGTTTGCAAGAGAAGAAAAAAGATCTGGCTTAACTCCAAATGCAAGCACAAGTGGGGACTTAGCAAAGGTCAGTGGGGGTCAGTAGCTAGAAAACTACTAGGAGGAACAGTGATAGAGAGAACTGTGGCTAAGCCAGACGACAGCTCCTTGCTGAGGGCAGGCCAGAGGCCCATGGCTATGGAGGGTGAGATGAGGAAGTAGTAAGATAGCAAAGCAGGGACTGCAGGGGCCTGGGGAGATGGCTCAGTAGAATAAGCACTTGCCTGACAAGCACACAGGCCTGAGTTCAATTCCCGGTTCGGACAAAAAAAAGAAAACAAAGCAAGGACTGCACTAAACTGACCTGGCAGCATTCTTGCCTAAACTGGGCAGTGAGCCAAGGGCAGAGTCCAATGCCAGGGCCTCACCAAGAGGCAACCGGGACTCTGACTCAACAAATTCGAAATTTTCTAAGAAAAACACTGAGCTAAAAGGCAGAGTAAACATGCATGACTGAGGCGGGCAATGGAGATTAGCCTGGAGGTGTGACTCAGCAGGCCTCCTGCAGCACCTGTCCCGAAGCCACCAGCAGCTGACACCCACCTGAGGGGCCCCAGCCCCGCACTGGCTCAGCCAACAACTTCCTCCTTTCCTTGTCTGCAGGCCTGGGTGAAGCTATAATAAGGTACATACAACAATAGCGCTTACATCAGAGCTGAAGAAGATGAGGACGTGAGAGAATGGCGCTTGTGAAGTTTTTTTAATATATGTATTTCCAGAGAATAAAGATTTGTTGACTTCAACTTGAATCATTAACTATTCATATGTAGACATTTACAAATTCAAAGCTCCACTGTTTTTGTTTTGGTTTTCTTTTGTTTGAGTACCAGGGAACAAACTCAGGACCTTGCAATTGCCAGGCAGGCACTTGTGCCACTGAGCTACCTCCCTGGTCCAAAGCTCCACTGTTGAAACAACTGAAAGATAATTCCAATAACCAGCTCTTTAAAAACTACCAATTTCATTTAAGTTCATTTTCTTGTGTAAGCGTAATACTTGTTTTCTTTTTCTATAAGGGATGGAAATTCCATCTTAAATTTTAGCCATTACACTCTTTTATGAGTTCATACATTTTACAGCATGTTGGGAAGCAGAAGTACATAATAGAGCATCTTTTCATCCCCTCTAGCTCTCCCTTCCCTCTTTTCACTCTTGCTGATATTGCTGCTTCATTGTTCATGGCATGTAATGAGGTCACCGAGACCTTGACATGGCAGTTCTTAGCTCTGCCTACTTCCCCATCGCTCCCCTCACTAAGGGATGGAAAGTTCTGTGAAGGTGAATTCCAGCTCGCTTCATATCATTTGTTAACTGAGACCTTTCAAAAGCACCTGCTTTCAAAGTCTTTGAGCTACTTTCAACATAAACACTTTCATAGCGCTAATATTATTTCGCTAGGTAAGTTACATACTCTGTATCAACGTACACTAAACTATGTGCATATGATAACTAAAATTGAAACATGTGAAGAGCGAAGTGACTGGAGCAATAGGGTACAACAAAAAGTTCTGAACTGACATCTAGGCTGAACACATACGGTTTGCTGACTTACAAGTTCCGTGAACAGAACTTAACATGAAATAAAAGTAAGTTTCATTTAAAAAAGACAGGGTACTACTTTGCATGCCACGGCAGCCAAAATCAACCACCATGTCATGAGGAAATGATTCCTAGGGTGGTGCTGGAGCAGACTAGAGAATCAGTCAGCTAGTAAAATATGTGAGTAAATGGTACAACTGTGGACCCAAAGAAGAGGGGCCTCTCATACTTTTATGAAACAGAGAAAGCAGAGGATGAAAGAAATTAAAACAATTCAAGACCAACATATGCTGATCACACTTGCCTCAATGCAAGTTTTGAATAGGCAAAGCTTCACTGGTGTATGATACGAATCTCAGAGATCTGGAAAACCATGAGAAATTACAAAGAAACAGAATGCAGCATTACAGGAGCACATGAAAAAATCGCCGAGTGTAAAAAGCAAATTGTTCCAGCAAAAGAACAGGAAAAGAAAGAATCACCAAGAACATAACTTCTCCAAAGCAACTCCACACCATCCTGACCGGAAGGAGGCAGTGACGGGGTGAGAGGCCTGGTGAAGGGAAACACAGCGTCTCCCCCATGCGCTTCTTAGCACCGCCAAGAACTTCAGCAAACACCAGAAAAAGATGACGGCCAAAACAGAAACTCAAGAAACAAGGATAAAAAC